CCTCCCTCCCTCCTTCCCTTCTCTCTCTCTCTCTCTCTCTCTCTCTCTCTCTCTCTCTCTCTCTCTTTCTTCAGTCTATGTATCATCTATGTATCCATATATCCTCTGGGACACCCTGAACAAGTCAGGCTGATTAGAAGAGGAAACCAGAGGAAGTTGTGAGTGGAACTTTCAATTTCAGGACTGTGGAAGTTACAGTTGCCTGAGGACATAGCACCTTACTTCTAGACTAGATCTCAAGGGTAACGTATGAAGTGGAAGTGAATTAAGATGCTTGAATGCTGGAAGGTGGTGTCCCAACGGCTTTGAGCTTAAATAGTTGGTTGAAAGGCTCACTGTACACACATTTTCATCCTCACCTTCTGTGTGGAATTCACAAAACTGAGAGATTAAACACGTCCTTTTCGAGTAGGCTGCTTGCTGAATGTTTTTCCCAACTCTGGGCTAAAGCAAGTGTTCTGGGTATGTGCAGGTGATAAGGCTACGTTCAAATTGCAGGTGGGATGGCTCTATTAGGTGCGTTTTCAATTTGTAATATTTTCACCTGGCACTGGGTTCTTTGGGGTGTAACCTCATCACAAACAAGAAACATTTGTGGTCCTGGCTGGATCACTGGGCAAGGGTCATACTTCAAAAAAAAGTATCTTCTTCCAATTCACTAGGCCAAAAGACTTCCTTTCACCCTATGAACTTCTGAAATCAGTGACAAATTTGTTTTTCTGTATGCGTTTCCGAGTGTCTTTGTCATTTCCTTGAGAAATCCTAAGCCAGCCTCTCTTCTGACTAACTTGATGTCACTGTCATTGATAGCCACAAGTGTGGCACGGATTTCAAAGCCTCAAATGACCTTGTTTTGTGTGGCTTACCAATCTGTTATGACAGCTTCAAACTATATTTCCAAAAAATTTTAAAATTTGTTTATATACATATATAAGTATACACACAAATATGTATATATGTCTGTCCGTATGTATGTGTGTCCTCGCTTGCTCAAGAGTGAGTGGCAGTCAAAACTTATCTTCTTCCATCGCTTTACCATGAGTTTTGAGACAGAGTCTCCAACTGAACCTGGAGCTTCACAGTTCAGTTGGCAAGTGAGGCCCCAGAATCTGCCTGTCTTTGTCCCCCAACACGAAAATTGCAGGCATGTACCACTGAATCAGGCTTTTTTTTATGGGTTCTGAACTCAGGTTTCTAGTACTACTCAGCAAGCATGTTACCCATGGGCTCACTTCCTAGTCCTCAGAGAACATTTCTCACGGCTTTCCTGGTATTAAATAGCCTTAGGTTACATGTGTTGAGGTTTTTTTTTTTTTTTAAGGTTGTCTATGTAAGATTTCTCCTCTTTATAACCCACTAACATGTTTGCTAACGACAATCACATTTTTTATTCTGTTTGTGACAACCTTCTAAACCAGAGAATTTCAGCCAGAAATGCACATACAGAAGACCGAAGCACCTGGAAAAGACTTTGAATGGACTTTTCCTGGGCGTTGTCTGAGTCTTGGACTGAATCTTCCCCACCATAGCTTTTGGATTACCAGCCACTCTGGAATCAGCAAGGACGAGGTTCACCATTGTTGTCTCGAGTTCTTAGGAGTGTTTTGGCCTAGGAAGCTAATGGGATGCTGGCTTGTGGAGACATCTGATAGCTTGCAATCTTATTTGCAAGATTATTGAGAAATCAAGAGTTAGTTTTATTGGGGTTCTACATGAAAGTCATTGTTTTCTTTGTTTAAAAGTGGCTGTGAGATTTAAGGGAGATGTTGGCTGATGGCAATTTTGAAGAATGTGTGTGTGTACCCAGCAATCTGGAGTGTCCCCTCTTTCCCTCGAGCAATGACAGGAATCTGTTGATGGAGGATGAAAGGCAGGGTACAGCCACCAAAGAGGAAGAAGATTCTGTGCTCTCTGTTTGTGTGGATTTTGTCTCTATTAAGACAGTTTATTTGTTTGTTTGTTTTATTTTGTTTTTGAGACAGGGTTTCTCTGTAGCTTTGGAGCCTCTCCTGGAACTAGCTCTTATAGACCAGGTTGGCCTCGAACTCACAAAGATCTGCCTGTCTCTGCCTCTGAGTGCTGGGATTAAAGGAGTATGCCACTACTGCCTGGCTATTAAGACAGTTTATAACATTATGGGGTTACAACAACTTTCCTGTACTCATGGAAAAATCAGGCTTCACTTTGAACAGTTGGTTCCTTAAGCACAGATCATGGATTCTACACTGTTAGATCCCATCCTGTCTCCATTGTCTTCTGCTTGCCTTTGATGCTATCACAGAGGTAGCCTCTCTCCTGTCTCATACACACTCCATCCTGGCTAGTCATACGCTTTTATTCAGGACAGGGAAGGCCCTTTTTGGTGCCCCATCGGACATCCTTTACTCTGCCAAGCTTTCCTTCCTCATCTTTTCTGGATGAATGCAGTTTAGGCATTTGGGAGTTCATTTAGACACTTTGAGATCATTGATGAATGCCTCAGGAACTCCCTAGTCAGTGTTCATATCAGAGTCGGTGCCCTGCTTCATGGCCTCATCTACAGGCATGTACCAGCTTGTCGGAGGTTTAGAACCCTGTAATGTTGCTTAGTCAAAGAGTACCAAGTCAACAGTATTGAGGGAATTAGCTAGTGGGTGCTAGTAGAACTGTATGGCTAGACTGGTGTAGGGTGGCCTCAGGGACTTTGGAGGCCCTCAATCACTGCAGAAATTTTAGAGGAGTCTTAGCAGCCTCCTGAACCAGTTGAACCCATCCTTTGACCATGTCAGTTTCTTAAGTTTATTTTTATTTATGGCAAGTGCACTTAACGAATTTTATTCAGCTTGCATGAGGCCCTGTGTTCCCGGCCACCTGGTCTTCCTCTTAGTTGTGCTGAATCATCTCCAGTCTTCTCTCTCTCTCTCTCTCTCTCTTTAACCATTCATTAACAAAGAAGGTTTCTAGGTTTAAATGAAGTTTATGATCATTATCAAAGAGTATTTAAATGAAGTTTATGATCATTATCAAAGAGTATAAACATTCCAAACCGAGAAAACCCACTAATTCTTTGCTATCCATTTCCCCAAAGGGAATTCTTAATACTTAATTCTTAATATTTAATTCTTAATACTTCAGTCTCTTCACACCTTTAGTTTTCTTCAACAAGTGCCTTGTTGGGAAGGGGACCTGGAAGGGAAAAGGTCACCTAGGAGGGGTCCCCAGATTATGGTGGCCGCACAGGTATCCTCCCAAGAAAAAGCTGAGCACCTGCAGTGATATCTCACCATGGCTTGTGTCGGCACAACACTTTGTGTGAAGCCCCTGGGAACTGGGAACATGCAGGCCTCAGAGTCTGATCAAATGCATGCCAGGTTAGATGCCAGCCAGGCAGTCAGGGTTGGGAAAACAGTTCTCAGAATTCCCTCATGCATGTGGTCTTGGTGGTACGTCTCTCCTTCATCTTGGTAGCTGCTACCTGGATATAGGTAGTAGGTCCTGTTTCAAAACCAAGTCAGGAAGTTGCAGCTGCGTTTGAGCCGTGTTAAAGTGCCAGAAGCGACTGCTCCCACCTCTGTAAGGCAAGGAACCTCTGACTCCTTATTTGGAGAGGGCAAGGAGGAATACTTACCCTTTCAGGGCCATACTGGTGATGAGAGGTAACAGTGAGCGGGGCCAAGGGGATCTTCTTATTGCTTTTGAACAGGATGGGCAAAAGAAGAGCAAAAAGAAGAGCAAAATCCTTGAGTATGCTGAAGAGGAGGAGGTTTTCCCGACTCTGGCACTGAGCTGCAAAGTCCCTGGGAAAGGAAGGTGGAGGCCTTCCAGCTGCCTACATAGCTAACATTGCTGAGGTCACCCCCAGAGGCTGGTTTCTGTGAGACACGGGCCTTCACGGCTTTGAAAGCAAAGTGGCATTTTATCTGGAATATTGCTCTGAGGTAGCCTGAAGAGGGGGACTTCAAGCTGGACTCAGACAGTAGAAAATCGGCTCATGAGCACTTATGGGCATGTCCAAAACGGCAGGGCAACCAGGGACACAGGGGACTCTACTCTCTCCATGCTTTTCAGCTCTGACTTGAGCCCCTTCAGGGATTCCATGCAGTACACCTCATCTTCTCCAGGCAAGAGGTCACAAGCGAGTAAGAAGAATAATGATTCATGGGCTGGGTCTGTGCTAAATGTGTTTCCAACAACCACTTCAGAGCCCCAGACCTCAGTCCCTTCAGCCCTGGGGCCATAAGCAATAGTCAACAGTTCTTTTCATTAAATGACCAGATCCAAATAACTTAGTAAGCATTATGTCTTCTCAGCAACTTTGCAGGCATTTGGAAAAGAATTCTTATAGCTGGAAAGATAATCAGTTTAAAGAGCTAACCCCTCCGTAATGAACTGCCGCACATGGTGAGAGCCCTGCTCAGCTGCTCCAGCGTGGCAGGCAGACCACACCAGCACTTTTGTTGGCTTCACACACACACACACACACCACCACCACCACCACCACCACCCTCCCTCCCGCCCATGGTCTCTGCAAAGTCACACTTCACAGACATTTGATCTTCTTGAGTGGGATGCGTGCTGGTCGCACATGGAAGCTGTGAGTGGATTCGAGCGGGCAACAGGTAGAGCGGCTGGGTACCCAGCAGAGCCTCAACGCTGAGCTGTTAAGGGTGGCTTGGCACACGGTTTGGGAGCGTGGGATGACTTCACCAGAGCCTCATAATAACACTCATTCCATGTCACCCAAATAGAAGCCAAGTTCAGAGAAGTCAATGTCAGCCATCTCACAGATGGCTGGTGAGAGAGAGGGCCAAGACTGACCAGGTCTCCTGAGGCTCTGCTAGTCCTCTGAACCACCAACTGGATGCCTAGAGTCATGTATTCTTGGGAATCTGGGGTTTTGTCCTCAGACTAGTACCCGGAACCAAATGGAATCAATGTCCCTCTTTTGGGGCCCAGCCCCTCCGTGGCCTTCAGAAACAGAGTATGAACACTGATGGAGCCTATTGTTTTCCTTCCCCTAGGAGGCCCACTGTGCTCTTGCTGTGTCCCAGACCCCATGGGGCTCTCCTTCCTCCCCACTTACGGTTGCCAGAGTAACCGCACGGCTAGCGTGGCGGCCCTGCGCATGAAGGCCCGGGAGCATTCAGAAGCTGTTCTGCAGTCAGCCAATCTCCTGCCATCCGCCAGCAGCAGCCCCAGCCCCGCTTCCAAGCAGGCACCTCCAGAAGGCAGCCCGGACAAGGCCTCTTCAACCAAGGAACAGAGTGAGGGAGAGAAGAGCGTATGAGGGGTCCGGAGTGTCCAGCCTGGAGCCCTCCCCACCCTTGCTTCTCTCAGCCTCAGTCCTGCAACTCTCTGTGATAAGGAGTAGCCGCCTCCTCATGGATCTGGCAGGGAAAGTGAGGCCTGCAGCCATCTCTGGGCACATCTGACTGGTCCTAGTGACCTGGAGAGTCACTCTAGAACTTGCTGGTTGAGGACAGTGTTGTTCTCGCTTTTCTCGGTGACAGTTCCTAATGGCACTTAGTGGCTCTGGAAACTGCTTTGTGGTGAAGCCCTTGGTTTTGTTTTTTGCTTTTCAGGCCAAGCAGCATAGGGGCTAAGCAAATTTGCTCACCCCACCACCCTTTTTAAGTTATCTGGGGGAGGTCTTGTCAACTCCAAGGACGGTGCCATGAATCATCTCTGAAAGACATCAAGTGACATCTCATGACAAGGAACGAGACAGTTACTCTCATACTGTTTAAGAACCACAGAACTGGCATCTACCAGTTCTCGCTCTCAGCCAGTACTGGCGACAACCCCCTTCCTCTTGTTTAAAGGGATTAGCTGAGGTTTTGGGTAGGAAGTGACAGAGTATGAAATGAGTCCGCAGTGGTCCTGACCCTGGCAGATTTCTCTGGGCACATCTGGCTGGTCCTAGTCAGACAGCCTGTCAGTTCTGCGACCCGGGGAGCAAATGTGGGTCTCCTGCAAATGAGTGTCCACCTGCAGACCCTTCGTCTCTTCAGAAGAATGGTGACAATGGTGGCGAGGTCACCAATCAGAAAGTAGCTTTGTAGCCGAAGAGAGGACAAGAGCCCCCTCAAAGAGGAAGGAGATCCCCAGGAAGGCCGGCGAAATACTTACGCACAAGTAAATGCCCTTCTTCGTAACCCCCTCATGTTTAGGGGGATCTGCAGGGGCGATGAGACAGGACTGGCCGGCGGGTGGATGCGCAAGTAGGAAACCCGGCAAGATGGCAGAAGAGAAGGGATTCCGAAGGGCCAGATTTCTTTTCTGCCTCGGGCTAGAGTGGGTGTGTTCTCTCCCGTGGATGGTGACTCGAAGAGTTCAAAGAGGAGAAGTGCAATAGCATGAGCCCCGCCCCCTCCCAGTGCCGGAAGGGGGTCTTTGGCAACTTTTTGTCCTATTTCCATGCAAACAGTTACTGCTTTCATGAAGGCTGTTTTCATTTCCATTCCGATGCTCAAAAGGCTCTGCTTTCGGACTGTCTGCCTCCCCCTCTTAACTTTTCAGGAGCCCCTGCCCTGTAATGCTCCTAGGTGTATTGTGCCTCACTTAAGATTACTGCAACACATTTGATAGAACACTGTCTCCTTAAAAAAGAAAAGAAAAGAAAAGAAAAAAAAAAAGAAAAAAGAAAAGGAAAAAGAAAAAGGAAAAAAAGAAAAGAAAAAAAAGCCAGATCCTTGTTCCTTGTTCCTGCTGTATTTTGCTTGTTGAGTACAAAGATGAAGTGATTTGCCAAAAAGCGGCCGAGTTGCTTCCATTTCCCTGTGATTATGAAGGTTTGGTTGAGCAATGTATGCGCCAGCCCTTATGCACACTAACTCTTCAATCTAATTGTTTGATTAAACTCGTATTTCCTCCAGAAAGGTACATAAATAAGTGAACTGTTGGGCAAATTAAGAATACTTAACAGCATTGCATCCGAAAAGTAGTTATGCTGATTAAATTCTGTGTCCTTGAGGACTTTCAGGAAATTACTTTTGATCGTCAATAACACAATTAAGTAAACTACACACACATTAGCATGAATAATTGATAAGAAATTATGTATTACCACGAAGCACTGATTTAATAATTCATGACGCGACACTCCAGTGACTGTGCAAAACTGGATAACATTGAAAAGTCTGCCTGACGTTCTGGAAAGAAAGGAAGAAAAAAGCTAGCGCCAAACCTCTGCAGAGACATCTGAGCACTTAGTTTCGTTGTACAAAGGGAAAAAGTAACTGATGCATGACATTGTTTCTGTTCGTTTCAACACCTGAATAAATTTAGACTTTAAAGACTTCCGTGGGCTTCGCTTTCTCCTTCCTGGTCCCTGAGCCCTGAGCTTCCCGGCTGGGTGGAGTCTGTTCTCTCTAATACTCCATTTGGGCCAGCGTGCAAATGGAAATGTTCTGGAAGCTTGCAGAAGGATTTGGAAGCCTCAGGCACAAGCACCTTTTAGCAGATGCTGGGGCAGGTTGGAGGCCCCCGTGCAATCTTGAGCTCTCCCTCAGCTCTTCAGGACTCAGGTCACCTGCCCCACCTTGTCCTAATCAGGGCCATCATGGCTGAACGGTTCTTTGGGGGCAGTTATAGCTGGAGCCCCCGTGGGCCGCCCTGTCTGCAGAGGTTCATAATGTGACTATAAAAAGACAGCCGGATTCAGTCTGGGAAGGAGGTTCAGGCCCCAGGGATTGATTGATGATTGATTAATAACTATTATTAATTTATTAGTTGAAACATTCCAAAGAGCATATCTTAATGCACTGCAGGTTATGGTAATAGAGTTTAGAAGCCACTGTGGCCATGACTGGGGCAGCAGCCAGCCTTGGTCAAGGGGATGGTCCTGGGAAGAGGAGCAATAGCTGGGCCACAGGGAATCATGGTGGGTGACCTGGGAACAAGCCTCCAATCCCAGTAGGCTTCCTCCCTCTTTCAATTTGCATTTTATTTAGGGCTATTCAGTGCAGGGGTCTCTCAACTGGGTAGCAAGAGCTTAGTTAGACACCATTGGCTGGGAACTTGATAGAGGTTAATGCATCACGCCACCGCAACCCACCCAGCAGGTAAGTACCTTGAGTCCAGCCCTACCTGAAAATCCAAAGCCCAAAAATGTTCTTACACCCCAAAGCTCTTGAGCACTGACATTACAGAAGTGGAAAATTCCATTCCATACTTCACACACAAAATTGTTAAAACAACTGGACGGGCTATGCCAAATGTCTACGAAACACCAAATCTGTCGTTTTGTTTAGATCCTTTTCCCAAAGCATCTTTTTACATTCATGAAAAAAAAAATCAGCCCAGTATCTGAAAATGTCTCAAATCTCGAACCATAGGCATCTGAGAGTCGATTCCTATTCCCATTTAATGGATATGAAAATCAAGGGCAGGAAGGTTGGGCAACCTCTCTAAAGTAATACGGTCGGAGAGGCTCAGTGGGAGGGACGGGGTTCAATGCTGAGCCCCTGTCAGTGCTCACAGGTGGCCCACGAGAGCAGAGTGGCAGAAATCTGGCAGATGGCAGGTAAGGCCCCTGTGTTCCTCTGCTCGCTGTCTATGGACTCTGCCTGAAGGCTTGTGGGAAGGGAGAAGGCCTCCCTGGTTCAGCCTAGCAGAGCAGAGGCCAGCCTGTTCCCTATTGGTTTGCCTCTGGGCCAGTGCACTGGCCTTCTGGTGTGTGCAAGTCTGTCTGGGGACAGACCCAGCAGGGATTCCCAACCGTGATGGTGTGAGAGCTCCTCAGGAGGTTTTTCTAGGGTGTTTATCATCACCAATCAGGTTGGGGCTCAACCAATTCTTTGGATGAAATTTTCCGAATTCACTAGGAACAGTCAAACTTTTGCCAGTTCAGGGTCTTGCTGGGGAACACGTTTCACATGTTTGAAACTCTTTCGGCTGTGTGGCTCTGACAAGTCACCTGATCTCTCTGCGCTGTAATTCTTATGTAACCATGGCCACCGATTCTTGGGGTTTTTTGAAGGCGATGGTTGGATCTATTTCTGAACGGTGCCTGGTACAGTGTGAAGGCCGGTTCTTTTCCCACCATGCCTCGTAGCTAACGGTCTGGAAGACGTTTCTTAGTTGGAAACCTCATGTCCTCAAGAAGGAAAGGTGGGGAAGGGTATGAAGGAGCTCACCCTTTTCTAGTGAATTTTATGGAAGAGCAGGACTTCCAGCAGAGGCTTGCCCCTGACCCTCAGCACCGAGATGAGTGAAAGCAGGGTTCTGGGAGGAATGAGAATGCCCAGTACAGGCTTAGTTTCGTGTTAAGTTGAAACCAGTAAGTCTAAAGGATACCAGGTGACTTCATATGTCTTAGACTCATGCTGGATTTCAGGAGAGCAGGAGTCAAGAATCAGACAGCCATGGGGGTCTCCCCCACTCCTTTCTGTGGCTCTCGGCAGAGGCCTCTGGTATTTGCCCTGGACAGCACAACCTCTCTGCTTTGTCTCTCATCTGTCTGTCTCATTCACCTGGACATGGATTGGTTCATGGTAGCTTTGGAGCTTCACCTGAACCGCCTGGGTAGTGGAACTGATCAGTCCAGCCAGGGCCTGACAGATACTCCTGGTTCAGTGGAGTGTGGCTGTAATGATTTCAGCCACAGAAGGTTGATACTTCAGGGTACTAGGGGTCGTACAGGTGCAGAGAAGCCCTCAGACAGAAGTGCCTAATGGCCCCGGGGATGTTAAAGGGCCCCACACGATCCATGCTCAACTCAGCTTCCTTGCGCACATGCATGGATTATATCATCCACATATGACTCAGCTAAATCCTTGAGTCCATGTGTGGATTACATCACTCACGTATGACTCAGCTAAGCCCTTGTGCGCATGCGTGGTTGCAACATTCACATATGACTCAGCTAAGCCCTTG